TGATGGCAGGTCGTAGCTGTCGAGGGGAAAATGATTGCTTGGTTTATAAGGGCATAAGCTTTTAAAAGTGTTTTAATAGCAGGAGAAAGATTTTGAAATGGTCTCTGTATTAAAGGGCAAATGAACATATGAGGTTGATAGCGGCTTGTGGTATTAAACAGATAGGCTGCTTCATCTTGTGCACATTGAAATTCTATTTCAATCCAGCAGACTTAGTTAAAAGGTGAAATAAACAGGCTTGATAATCACAAAGGTTTGGATCTTCATTCTCTGAGACATCCACATTAGTGACAAACCCTTTGTTGACTCTCAGAAGCTTGACACAGAGAATAGGAAGGCATGCAGCTTTTGAACAGGGTAATCTGGGTTTGCTGCACCCTTATGACAAATCTGTCATACACCTGACATGGACTCTAACAGCACTGACAATCTAATAAATCAGTCATGGGTAATGCAGGCTGAAAGCTGCTTCAGGGAAAAAAAAGAGAAGAAAAAGGCAGGGACTTGAGCGCAAATAAGGAGCAGGTTCCTTTCTTCCCATGGCTGTAAGGCAAACTGATTAAAAGTCTGTGTCCTCTTAGTAAAGTCATTGCAAGATATTCCCATCTCCCTGATACAGCACAAATGCCAGAAAGTTGCATGTCTAGATTGAAATTATTCCTAAACAAAGGGTAAAAAATTTAACCAGGTGGCAAAGAAATCATCTGGGAAATTGGCTGATTGCACCCAAAACACTGTGAATAAAGTTTCAAGAGCCAAGTTAGGACAATGGAAATTTGACAAATTATCAGGATAAAAGTTCTTTCTGGTTTAGACTGAGAATTTGACAAGCTAGGGTTTTTTCCTTGGAGTCACTTTCCAGTTTTAATAGAGAGGTTTCTCCAAGCCAGGTTAGCTGCAGAGTTCGGGAAGTTGTGGAGTTACCTGTCACACTGGAAAGTAATAACAGACCTGGGTCTGACACAGAGAAGAGAGGGAAGGATGTAATTCTTTGAACTCAAAAGAGGTCAACTAAGATGTCAGTTTGGAACTGAGTTGCCTGGGTTTCAGGCAGAGGCAGAAAAGAAAGGCAATTTGTCTTGGTTTAGGAGCAGAGACAGAACACATCCTCTTGGGTATGGGAATGGGTCTGGAGAGGAGACAGGCACAGGATGTACTGCTGGAGCCAACTTGACCTCTGCTGACAGTGCAGGGCCTGGAGATTTTATAAAGGAGCTGCAGAAAGCATCTGCGTGTTCCTCTTCTGGGAGAAACTGGCTAAAACCCCCCAAATCCCAGCAGAAATAGAGGGGCAGCAATATAGAGGACAGAGGAATGTCTATGTCCAGACCTGCCCCAAGCACAATGACAACTTCTTTCTGAATAAAGTACATTAATTTTGGATGTGGCAGCTCCTACCTAGAGCTCCTGAGCAAGAATTAGTTTGCCCAAGTATAAACATTAATCTTAGAGGTACATATTGTTATGCATATTTTGTATATTCTGGTAAGTCCTGCTTCTTCCCCAAATGATATTAATGTTAAAAAATTAATTGAGCATAAAGATGTAGTACAAGGCCCACAGAGCATATCATTAGCTACAGCGTTTGTAGTCAAATAATTAAAAAGCAAAATAATTCTATGCACAATTCCATGTTCCTGTATTTATGTATATGTAGTATTGCAAAGCCTTTCTCATCTGGGATGTGCTGTATGACTTGGCAGATCCTCTCAAGTTGTTGTCAGCTTGAGATGAGCCCCAAACTTTCCTCATTTCCACCCATCCCAGCTGTTGTGTCAGTGATCCATGGGGAACCAGGGGGTTTTCTGGCAGGAAGGCTGAGCATTAAATCCCCACAGAGACCAGATCACGCTCCTCTCCCTGTGGCTGGTCTCCCTTGGTCCGAATTAGTGGCCTCTGCTGTTGTAATTATTTGTGGATAAATCAAGGAATGAGATCTGCAGGCACTCAAAAGTGGGACATTTCTGATGCAAAACTGCTTATTTTAAAAAGAGTGAAGATGTATTTATCTATTCTACAAGGGGGACATGCACTTCTTTAAACTTAACTGACACTTTGTAACAAGAGAGATCTCTCTCTTTTAAAACTACATGGTGTTTTCCCTTATGGAATGGTGAATAACATGGCTATTTTCCTATTAAAAATATTGGGGTTTTTTTTTGCTTTGAAGCAATTTCTACTTTGAGCTGAGGTTTTGAGGTGATGTACTCTGGTGGTGCACTTATATGCAAACATATCTATGTTCAATGGAGTTGTAACCTGCCCCATCTTTTTGGCAAAGGTTAATAGTGACAAAGTAGGCCCCCCAAAAAAAACTTTCTACATTTTGCAGTCTCCTGTTTCTATGCAGAAAAAGTGTAGGGGACACTTTTTGGATTGAAAACTCCACAAACTCTAAGAAAATCCTAAAAGAAGAGGCAGTGATTCATGTTCAAACATCCACATGAATGAATATTGTAAGCCATGGATGAGTTAAATCTGCCAATTACTGTGCTCTTAAAAAGCTTTCTATTAAGCAAGAACCCCCTCCTGCCTAATGGCTCTGTTTGCCATTCCCATAGAGATCATGATTTATTGTACCCTATTTATTCTGGGTTTAATAGGATTTTGAAATAAGTATTCAGCAAACAAAGAATATTGGAAGTCATAATGATAATTAGAAGTTAGAACTAAGTTATGAGTAACTTCAGGTAACTGTACTGAGCTGCTACAATTTTTTGGTAGAGTGCAGTTACTGTCTTCAGCTCCTTACTGTGTTCTTGGGCATATTACCAAAGCAGTGGCTTATAAGACAAAATTTAGAAAAATAAGACTTCTTTTTTCAAGAAAATGTCCCTATTGGGTAGCTTTCAACATGGTGTAAAACACGTATGAGATTCTAAAGTATGATTTTTCTCTTATACAAGAGCTTGTTTAAAACACAATCAGGGAGTAAAGTAATTGTCACATCTAGGGAGTTTTTAGCAAAGCATATTGAATAATCAAGGGAAACAAATTAGTTAAGTGCTGAAGTGACAGTGAGAAAAAGAAGAGTGTCAAATTATCCTTCAGAAAACAGAGTTACACTGACATGGCCTGTGAGCCAAAGCAGCTGCAGGTTACCATAGTTTGGTATCGCATACTGGAGCTTGAGTAGCAATTGTTCCTCTTTTCTGACCACACATGAACAATCCTCAGTGACCCCAAACCATTTTTGAGTTGTCTAAAAATAGATGGGAGTGAAGGTTGTCTCAAATAGTCCCTTCTAGAAATACAGTAAGAGACTGCAAGGCATGGAAAGCTGTTTTAGATTTTCAAATCCAATCTTGGCAAGCAGTTTTGATCATTAGCATTGTCTCTGGTAGGCAGGGAGGCAAAGTAATAGAAATCTTTTTTATTGATCGGGACTGTACTTGAAGAAAGGTGTAATTGCCGTCCTAAATTTAATCTTGTAGATACACATTGGGTGCCAATGTTCTCTTTTAGTATTAATGTCTTCCAGGAACTTCTAAAAAGCTTCATTTCATATTAACATTGCTAGTTGTGGTCTAGATCACTGTGTATTAGTAAAATATAGCAAGGATTTTTGAAGTCTGGTCCTTTGTCTTGGTGTTTGTAGGAAACGTTCAAGGAGTGTTGAAGGTAATGTGCTTTTTAAATCTTTTGCATTTGGGATACTGTTTACACTGGAGCAGCTGGTAACATAAAATGAAACTTCAAAAATAAAGAATAGAAATCATCTATTGGAGAACAGAATACATAGATTTAAAAGCAATTTTTGCTGTATTAGTTAAATGTGAGGGGAAAAATGCTACTCTTAGAAGCAGGGCAAAAGGAAGGATGAGTGTTTCAGTGAATTATAGTAGCTACAGTTTTTCCAAGCTTTTTAAAAAAGCCTTAATTTGAAGTATTCAAGCATGTCACAGACAGGCTTTTTTATTCTTATAAATTAACAGCAAGAGCCAGATCAACTATTGCAAATATTGCACCTAGTTACTGCTACAGTCCCAAAGGTTCAGTCAAAAAAATCCTTGCTTGTATCATTGTTCTCCTACGTTTCTTCAGGAAGAGTGAGGGAATACCAAAACTCCTGCATTTCTCAGTCAAGGCATCCCAGATTTCAGTCTGTATTTGCCCTGAATATTCCAGTGAGACAAACAAAAGGAGAAGATGGATACCCCAGGAGATTTAGGATTTACCTTACTGCACCAGAGTGGTCCAAGTTTAGGACTCTTTTTTCCAATTGAACTTGTTTTTATTCCCTACTTCACACTTCTCCTCTCTCCTATTTTCCCACATCAGTTCATCTGCTCATGATGAAACACGCGGCCAGTGGTAGATGAGACAATGGCAGATTTCTGTAAATCTGAATTTTGTAGATCAAGCTGCAAATTTCTGAGCCCACCTAGATTTTGCAGTATTTTACCAAATACATGATTAGAAGGATGGTTTTCTAAAATGCTTTCAGGGATTTATGTTGTTTGGCTGCATGGGGCTTTGTGTGTCCTCAGCATATCAATGGTTTAGTGACCTAGGAAAAGCCTTTCTTTCCCCAGGTGATGCATTGATACTTCCCCAAATAAATGCTGACACATTCAGAACTCAGAAAAGGAAAACATTTGGCTTTAGCAGTTACACAGCAGAAAGAAAAAAAATGTGTTTGTGTTAGTTAAACATGATTGAGGCATTTTCACAGGTAGTCACAGAAATATCTCAGTAAAAGCAGGATCTAATTCATTTCTCTCTAGACTATGGCTAAACATACAGTTTATTAAAAAAATTAAAAAAAAGGGAATTCGTTTGTGCCGTCAAATTTTAATGAAAGCAGAATAACATGGCACTAAATTTTTATTGTAAAGTGGTCTGTACCCTTGTAAAATCCTGTCAGGAGCACTTGTGATGGTGTCACTGCAGCTGCAGATCATAAATTTGAGTCTTGCCATGGACAGGTTTGAAAAGAAATGTTGGTTTATTGACATAAAAGAAAGATTTTTGGCTTTTTTCTTCATTATTCTGTGTGATTATATAAGGATAAAAGGGAGAGAACTAGCAATTTCTCCACACTGCATCTTCCCAAATGAAAAATGCACTCGGTCAGATTATCAATACCCAAATGATTGTCTTCATTGTCCTGTTGTTCTCTTCATCCTATTGAGAGCTGCAAAAAAGAAATGAGGATTCAGCTGCTTATGGGACAACAGAAAAAACAGCCTCATGCATGGGGTTTCATGTAAGAAATATTATGTGCAAGTGCTCAAATGATGCATTGTGGTATTTTCTTTGCAATTTATGTAATTCTGGTAAAATCACAGTCCTCCTTTTTTTTTTTTTTTTTTCCTCCTCCCTACACTTTTCACTTAGCTAACCAAAGGTTTTATTAACCTGGGAATGAAGAACATGTTTTTGAAAGGGCTTAAGCAGCGGAATGATGAATGGAAGTGTTCCCAAAGCATGCAGGTAAAGTGCTATCAGGAGCTGAGGCTGGTTTCTGCTCCATCGCCCCAACAGGAAAATAGCAATATTGCTGCAATGATTCCGCTCAGCCTCTATTATTTGCGGTGGCGCTTGACAGTTATGGAGTTGGAATTCAATTTCTTTCATCTAAAGCAGGTGCACCTTAAAAAAAAAATAAAATCACTCTGCCACTTCTGTATAACACATGGAGATCGTTGGCTTCTTGCCTGAAAGCGTTTCAGGGCACTTATCCCATTTTCATCCAGCAGAAGTTGTCCATGAATATCATCCCATTTAAAATACACCAGCAAATTTGCTTTATCCCAAAGCAAGATAATAGATGATATGAAAAGCTTTATTTTATGCTGGCATATACATTTAAGAACCTATTCTGAAGGGCATTTTTATAGAAGTCTCTATTACAAAGCACATAAAGAGGTTGATGTTATTTTATTATTCAGGACAAGAAGAAAGGTGTTTCTTAATCTTGATATATCTGAATTTGATATGACAGGTTGACCTTGATATTAACATCATGTATCCAAATTTTTCTTCCCAGTTTGACTCTAAAATACCCGTCCTTACTTTTGGATAGTGGTATCCAGGCACTATTTGTGACTAGTACATGGCACATTTATTTTCTATTAAAAGATTCCCACAAGTGCCTACTGGGATTTAGAGAGGTTTAGTTAGAATAAGGATTTGAGAAAAAAAAAAGTTTGTGCTGTCTGGAAGAGTAATATATGCTTATTGAGGCCAAATAAAAATTGATGTGTGTGTCTGTGTCACATTACACATTTCCATGTGTGTATATACACATTTATATTGAAATGTCTGTCTGGATTTTAGGTGTGCTTATTTTTATGTGCAAGTTTATATATGTATATATATTCACAAATAGTCTGACCAGCAGGCATGTGGAGCTCAATACTGCTTGTATTTGACTTTCCCTTTCTCATCTCCTATTACTTCCATTTACTTGTCAAATAATTTACAAAGAGACAAGATGTATTTTCAGAAAACTCCACAGATGACTGGCTTGTACATTGACTGGTGCTGAATGCAGCTTGGATAACTTGAGCACCCTTGATTTGTGGTTTAATGTCTCTTAATGTGTAAATGAACTAAGTAATAGTGATGTGAAGGTCACTAGCTGTAGCAAAGGATTGCCTTAATATGAGAAATAGTTTATTAAAGGCACTGTGTATTTTCAGGCTGTACTGAAATCAATAGTGTGTTTAATCTTTGGGAGGTGCTCACTGGGTTCATTCCTGGGAATAGATGGGCAGTTAGTGTTCCATTCACTGGCAAATTCCAGAGTTAAAAATAACTTCTGTAAGATTTACCTTTTCCTTAATTATTGTTTTCTGCAACTGGCTGTAGTTCTCAGTACCTTTCTGCCTTAGAATAAATATTCAAGAGACAGACAGGTTTAGCACATTAAGATTTAAACTCTTATTGGGAAGATACACCATCACGATAGCTTGTAATGTAGTATTATGCACCATTTATGTCTAACTGGATAACATTGTTTAACTTAATTCTGTTGGTTTAATTAATGCTATTACTTTAATCCATTTAGGAAGGCAAAAACAACCAGGAAAGCGTGATGGTATCAGTTAGGACAACAGATACAATATCAATTCCAACTTCCCACAAAATTCCCTGTTGTACAAATGGTGCAGAGATTGTCTCAGCCTCTGTTGGGACAAATGCCAAAGTTTTTAACTGTGCCTCCATTGGAAATGAGGTTTGTTTGGCCTGTTTTGTTTGGGTCACCCCTTGCAGCCCTGAGCAAATGTGCTCTAATGGCAGGTTTGAATGTGAAAGTCAGCACGAGCATTTGTCTTCATGTCTGCCGTGGAACTTGCTAAATTATCTGGATCTCTCCGAGTCAATACAAATTAAAAATACGCACAAGGTTTCTAAGAGAGTGATTGCTATTCTAGCAAGTTCATTAGCCTTCTGAGGAATGCTGTTGGCAGGCTTTGTTTAGCAGAAGTCCAAAACAAAGTAAACCAAAAATGTCACAAAATGAATTGCAAATCAATTGGCAATATAAATGGGAGAAATAGGATGTGGATGAAGAATAATTTAGGGAAATGTATATTGTTCCTCCAGGAATCTTAACTGCACGGATGGGAACAATGCTAAAGATTACAGCAGAGAATGGGGAATAACTTGATTAAACAAATATGGGCCATCCAGTTTTTCCAAATATACTGGCAAAACCAGGCTCCAGGCACTATTTACTTTGTGGGGAAAAAAAGAAAAAATCAGTGAGGCCTTTTTATTTTTTTTTTTTCCCAGCTCTCTGCTCATATTCACATCAGACAATTTGATTGGATTTGTGACATTTTCAGTATTTCCACAGTAAATAATTCTTGCCCTGCAGATGCATGGTGCAAAGAAAAGAAAAACAAAGGAGAGGGAGGACAGAACTAGATGATCTTTAAGGTGCCTTCCAACCTGAACCATTCTGTGAGTCCATGATTCTATTTCCTTAGTGTTTTCAGTCTGTACTCTGAAAAATAAATGCTGAAAATGAATATTTCACTCTAATTTTATGACAATAAATTGAAGACCAAAAATTAAGTTTAAATGAGGAAATCAATGTCCTAAAGTGGATAAGAAGCAATTACTTTGCACTCTTTTCCCCAGTTAAGTTCAGGTGCAGTCACCTAGAGCATCTCTTGTCAGCTGCTGCTGAAGGGAGGGAAGAGGCTGCTCCTCTCCAATTTAATCCAGGTTTCTTTGAGAAATTTTATGTGTCACTGCTACTATTGTTCCCATTATTTGAAGATTCTTAATAGAAACAGAACAAAGCCTAAGTTTTAACTCCCACAGCAAAATGCAGTGGTAAATCAGCAGGGAGGAGAGAAGGTTGCAGGTGACACAGGCAAGGCTGATGTGCTCAGTGCCTCCTCTTCACTCTCCACAGAAAGGTTAAATGTGCCAAAAGGCTTGACACGATCAGAATTAGCAAGACAACATGAATGCAAGGGAGAACAGGGAAGGAACTGGGAATGTAGATTCAGAAAAATCTGATTTAAGGTCTGTTTACAAGGTTAAATGGCTGGGCAATAACTGGGATTTGCATTTATGGCACGCTGTCTGCTGAGTATTAACTCCCCATATGGAACATCTCAGCAAACAAGAGGGTCTTTACATGAAGCAGCTTTTGCAGGTCAAGAGATCCTCAGAGTTACCCCAGCATATTTAAAGATGCAGTTTATAAACTAGCAGTGATTTGCTTTGAGAACTCCCAAAGGGTATAAATAGTCCCAATGGGCACAGTACATGTCTTTAGATGAGAAAAAAATAAGGAAAAAAGCAAGGGAATGACAGCCAAAGATTCAGACTGAGCTGGTATCTGGGGAGATGCTAACATAAATTTTTAAACAATCAATTTATAAGCTCCTCAAGCTTAGTGAGGGAGGAAGTCAGTCTGCCCACATGAACAGATGTTTTTCACTTCAGGGAGACTTCTGATATGACTCAGTCATAACAGTAAGTATGATTCATAATAAATCACTAAGGAGCAAGGCCTGTTTGAGAAAACTTTATCAAGGAATAATTTTATCAATAGTCTGTAGCTCCTGATTTTTTTGCTATTCTCCGCTTTCCTTAATGTCTCAGGCAATGAGACGTCACATCCTTGAACCATGTCACACTCAGAGGCAGTGCAAGCAGGCTTAGAATTAAAACTCTTTTTGATAAATGGGTGAAGCTGCTTGAAATCCATAAGACAAAATTAAGCAAAGAGGATAAAGTTGGTGCTTTGAGAGGAAAAGTCAACTGCACCCATGGCAAATGGGAAGGGAAAGAAGTGATAAGATGTCAGGCCTATGGGAAAGACAGGACTTGTGCAGGGCTGTGGCAGAAAAATGTAAATCTCTCTGTTTAAATGCATTAATTAATCAGAGCCAGGAGCCACTGGGGAGGCAGCTGCTGGGGGCTGGACCCAGCCACAGCACACGAGGAAGGACATGGGGAAACTGGAGTTTGGACAGAGAACAGGGGGTGCAGCTTGGTTGGTTTGGCTCAGAAAAATGGGATAAAATCAGGCAGCAGAGATTGGGGGTTCCTTCAGCCATGGAAGTGCTGCCACTGAGAGACCTGAGCTAACCCTCTGCTCAGCAAGGTGGCACCAAGCAGTATCAATTTTACTCACAGCAGATTTGATGTTCAGTGTTAGGAAAGTCAAAACTGTGCTCTAATAATGCAGTTAAATACTTGAACAATGACTATCGTAAACTGTGAGGTTTCCATGACTGACAGGCTTGGAGAAGTTGATTAAAGCTTATACAGATTGTTCATGTCCCCAATCCAGTCTGATAAATGAACTTTTGGGAGGCTTATCATCCCAAGATTTTTACAGAAATATGTGTATGAATACAGTTTACTATAATCCATGCTACCATGTCACCTTTTCATTCCCATATCTCTCATAATTTTGACTTTTTGGAGGAGTAGCTCATTTGCTTTCATATAACATAAGCCACGTAATTTATATTAGACACAATGAAATCTATAATTTTAATTACTAACTGAATTTAGCTTTCAGCAAGGCTTGCAGATTGAAGGAAACCTGCTAAGTCCCTTTTATTCAGAACATTTCCTCCTTCACATCAAAGCAATACATGTCCATATCAGAGCGCCCAATCAGGATTTCTGCAGAATAAACCCTGAATCTGAAGAGTT